AGGGTCAGCGAAAAAGAGGAAGACCCTCAACGAGATGGATTGACATAGTGGCTGTAACAGTGAGTTCAAGCATAACAATGATCATGAGGATGGCCCAGGACCAGGTGTGATTTGTTTTGCTGTACATGGGGTCACTATTAGTCGGAAGCTACTCCCACGCCACCTAACAACTACAACAACACTTAAACCTCTGTAACTAAATATTTGTTTGCTTTTTATCTCTCTCTTGGGTTCCCTAGGGGAAATTTTGGGTGTCTGGAATTATAGCCTAGAGGATGTAAGACTATGGGTAATTTGATAAGTTTTAGCTGTGGTAGAAGAAGCTGTTTTTTATTTGCCTTTTACTGCTTTCTAATCATTACAGGAATGGTCTGTAGTTCACTAATCAAGATGTTTTCTTTGCAAAGCATTTTTTTTTAAATTCAGAATTTAACTTAGAAAACAGGTGTTAGACCCTTCGGCCAAACATTAGACAGGCCCATAAAACAAAATGAGACTAAATTGGCACACCAGCCCAGGGGCAAGGATGAGAAGGCAAGAGAGGACAGGAAAGTTGGTAATGGGGAACCTAAGGTTGAGAAGGGGAGAGTGTTGACATGTCATGGGGTTGCCAATCAATGTCATGAAACAATATGTATATTAATTGTTTAATGAGAAGCTAGTTTGCTCTGTAAACCTTCATCTAAAGTACAGTTAAAAACAAAACAAAACACAGGTATTGGAAAAACAATATAAAAGAGGAGCTATCTAGAAGAATGAGACATCCTGTGGAAGAATGTTACCCTGACATGGGCACTAGACTGAAGAGTAAGGAACACATCTACCATCCTCAGGGTTCACCCAGATGTCTACTCTGAACACAAAGGGCCTGCCTGCTGTAGGACTCAGGTTTGCAGTGTGCACTAACCTGGACGATGTACTGGATAATGATGACCAGGCTGACCAGCATGCTGATGTTGGCCAACAGCGAGAAGATGCTCAGGACCCTGAGGTTCTGGATGAGGACCAACAGCACCAGGAAGGGCAAGAAGGAGAGCATGTAGAGCCTCGAGTCCATGGTGGGTGTCAGTGTCACTGTCTCATTGTGATGGCAGTTGTTCGTTGTACCATTAATGGCCTCCACTACCTGGGGAAGGAATGTGAAAAGCAAGAGAAGGAGATGCTAAATGTTCTGGCCACATAGTTAGCTCATGCCTTGCCCATAATCCATCTCTCTCACAGAGAGTTGGAGTATTTCATGTGAGTTAGGGTGGATTTAGGACTTCTTATTCTAAACTTTCTGTGCCATACTTTCTCAAAAAAGAATAACTTTAATAAGAAAGAAATAACTGGGTTATACTGGCTATTGGTTGGCTTTTGGTCACCCAGTATCCATTCCTCCTGATTTTGATTTATCTGGGGAATTATCTCTACCTACTGAATACAGCCTTGAAGGATTTTAATCATAATCATATGGCACAGCTAAAGGATGAGCCTCTGACTCAAGCATTGACAATCCGTCCCAGGAATCCGAATCTAAACCTCAAGCAAAGTGACACAAGAACAGAAATAGGAAAATTCTTTCTGATAGTGGAACCTTGAGGGACTGCTCGTTAGTTTTACTCTCTAGAGCCCCCTAGCTGCCCTAGTTCCTCTTCTCTTTGATTTTGAAGTTTAGCCAATATCCTTCCACTAAACTTATTTCCTGCTTAAATTCCCCAGAATCTGCTTCTTTTGATTATAACCCACAAACCCATAATTTATTGTTTCTCAACTGGAATGCTACTGGCATTTTGAATGAGAGGACTCTTCCTTGTGTGGAATGGACCATTCATTGTAGGACATTTAGCATCCCTGGGCCTCACCCTCAATTATGTTGTTGTTGTTAGGTGCTGTCAAGTCGGTTCTGACTCATAGTGACACTATGTACAACAGAATGAAACATCACCTGGTCCTGGGCCATCCTCACAATCATTGCTATATTTAAACCCGTTGGTGCAGTCAGTCACTGTGTAAATCCACCTCATTGAGGGTCTTCCTCTTTTTTGCTGACCCTCTACTTTACCAAGCATGATGTCCTTTTCCAGGGACTGGTCCCTCTTGATAACATGTTCAAAGTACGTGAGATGAAGTCTCGCCTTCCTTGCTTCTAAGGAACACTCTGGCTGTACTTCTTCCAAGACAGATTGGTTAGCTCTTCCAGCAGTCCATGGTTTATTCAATATTCTTCACCAATACCATAATTCAAAGGTGTCAACTCTTCTTCGGTTATCCTTATTCATTGTCCAGCTTTCACATACATATGAGACTACTGAAAATACCATAGCTTGGGTCACGCCCACCTTAGTCCTCAAAGTGAGGTCTTTGCTTTTTAACACTTTAAAGAAGTCTTTTACAGCAGATTTGCCTGGTGCAATGCATTGGTTGATTTCTTGACTGCTGCTTCAATGGACATTGATTGTGGATTCAAGAAAAATGAAATCCTTGACAACTTCAAACTTTTCTCCGTTTATCATGATGTTGTTTATTGGTCCAGTTGTGAGGATTTTTGTTTTCCTTATGTTGAGGTATAATCCATACTGAAGGCTGCAGTCTTTGATCTTCATCAGTAAGTTCTTCAAATCCTCTTCACTTTCAGCAAGCAAGGTTTTGTCATCTGCATATCACAGGTTGTTAATGAGTCTTCCTTCAATCCTGATGCCACATTCTTCTTCATATAGTCCGCATCTTGGATTATTTGCTCAGCATACAGATTGAATAAGTGTGGTGAAAGGGTACAACCCCGACACACATCCTTCCTGATTTTAAACGACACAGTATCCCCTTGTTCTGTTCAAACAATTGCCTCTTGGTACAGGTACAGGTTATGCATGAACACAATTAAGGTTTAAACCTCAAGTATAGCATCCCCAATCATTGTGACAAACAAAAACCTCCCACACATATTTTCAAACACCTTCTGGCAGAGTGGAGGGTGGGGATGGTATCACCCTCGGTTTAGAACCAGCACAACCTGATAGAATCTTATTATTCAAGCAATACAATTCACCACAGAACAATATTGGTTTCATGTAATCGTACAAGTAAAAAATGTTGAATGGCAAATGTTGTACTATCTATATTTTTCTACAACAATAAAAAAAGAAGAAGAAAATATAAAAGTATTATTAATCCTTACCCATGGGTAGCCATGGTAGCACCTTGGAATATATTCAGCTGTACATTTTCTATAAAATATCACAAATTTCATGTATTATACTTTTTTTTTTATTTTACAAAACTGGGTTCATAGTATGCACTCTTCTATTTTGAAATTCCCTTTCACTTAACAACACATCTGATTCCTCACTATAGTAGGAAAAATACCTGAAAAGTAAGCCAGGCATTCAAGACTCTCCATAAATGGGCCCCACCCAACTATCAAGGCTCTTTCTCATCCAAGGCCAACACTTTCTTCTATAACCAAACCAGTCCAAGTTTCCTGTCCTGAGCAAGTCCTATACATTCCTGTCTCCAGAATTTTACTCACTCCCTTCTCCCACCTGGTTGCCACAACTATTCTGCCTGCCTTTAAAGACCCAGATCAGCTGCACCCTCCTCTAGGTAGCCTTCCCTTGCTCCAGTAATCTTTCCTGCCCTTGTACATTTAGGAAACTCTCATCTCTCCCATTTAGTTCACAATTAAGCACTCATAACCTCAGAGTGTTGTTAATAGTGTCCTAATCTGACACTTAAACATTATACTGATATACAACTTGTTACATGTATTACAACACACCCCACTTAGCCAATAAACTCCCCAAGACAGTGCTTGCTTGTCTCTAGGCAGGTGGTGAACAAAGGTATGCAGCGATCATTCTTCTGAAAAGCAATCTGGCAGTTTGCTTTAAGGACCTTCACAACAACCAAGCTCTTTGACTCAGGATTTCCATGTTAAGAAATGTATATTAAGCGACAAAATTTTGGATATAGTGATTAAATAAAATATATTATTAAATTAAAAAAAAAGAAATATATATTAAGGAAACAAAGGAGTGCACAAATATGGATGTGCCACTGCAACAGATTACAGCAGAACAATGAAGGGAAACAAACGAAAAATCCCAGGATAGAAGGCTAATTAAGCTATGGTCAATTACTGTGATGGAATATTAGCCAGTTGCCGCTGAGTCAGTTCCAACTCATGATGACCCCATGTGTGTCAGAGTAGAACTGTGCTCCACAGGGTTTTCAATGACTGGTTTTTTGAAAGTAGACCGCCAGCCTTTCTTCCAAGGCTCTGGGCAGGTTCAAACTTCCAACTTTTTGGTTAACAGCTAGGCGTGTTAACTGTTTGCACCACCTAGGACTCTGATGGAATATTATAAAGCTGTTAAAATTATCTTAGAAAAATTTAGGACATTGCACAATGCTAACCAGTTAATGCTCAGTTAAAACGATAACCACGATAGTTTGGATTAAGAGTAACTTTAGGGGGAAAGGAGGAGCCATTATTTAGGAAGTACTGAGTGTTCATTGATGGTGATGAGAAATTTGCTAGTGATTATGGGTAGTGATTGCATAACATGATTTAGTGTAATTAATATCACTAAACTGTACTCCTAAAAAATGTTGAATTGGCAAATGTTGTGTTATATATATATTTACAACAATAAAAATTAAAAAACTGTCTTGAGAGTAAAAAAAGTAATTTTATTTGTTTTCTTGAGAAGCCATATAATATAGTGTTTAAAAACTTAAGCTCTGGTGTCAAAAGGTCTGAGTTTTAAATCCTGACTCGGTGAGTTTTAAATCCTTATATACATTACAGAACTTATAGCTTCAGTTGTCTCATCTGCAAAATGGTAATAATGACAGTACTTAAAGATAGCTGTTAGGTGCCATGCAGTTGATTCCGACTCATAGTGACCCACTGTGACAGAGTAGAACTGCCCGGTAGAGTTTCCTAGGCTGTAATCTTTATGGAAGCAGATGGACAGGTCTTTCCTCCCACGGAGTAGCTGGTGAGTTTGATTAGCAGCCGAGTGCTTAACCATTGTGCCCCCAGGGCTTTACCAGTACACCAGGGCTCCTTTCCATAAAGATTCCAAAAAACCAAACCAGTTGCTGTCGGAGTCAGACTCATAGCGACCCTACAACCCCAAAACCAAACCCATTGTCGAGCCCATTCCAACTCAGAGTGACCCTATAGGGCAGGAGAGAACTGCCCCATAGTATTTCCAAGGAGCGGTTAGTGGGTTTGAACTGCCGACCTTTAGGTTAGCAGCTATAGCTCTTAACCACTGCACCACCAGGACTTCCCTATAAAAAAACCAAATCCAAACCCATTGACGTAGAGTCAATTTCAATTCATAGCAACTCTATAAGACAGGGTAGAACTGCTCCATAGGGTTTCCAAGGAGCACCTGGTGGATTCGAACTGCCGACCTTTTGGTTAGTAAAACTACCAACCTTTAGGTTAGCAGCCAAGCACTTAACCATTTAATCTTTACAAGGAGCACCACCAGGGCTCCTCATAAAGATTAAACCCACTGCCATGGAGTTAATTCCAACTCATAGCTATGAGTCGTAAAGATAACAGCCTAGGAAAGTCTATGAGGCAGTTCTACTCTGTCCTATTGAGGTGTTAGATTCCAACGGCACACAACAGCAACGTACCTGACACATAATAGAAGCTAACTGTGGATGCTTAGTATTTTTTTCTTTTTGACTTTTCTAATTTCTGGTATTACCTTTATAATCAGAAGAAAAATCTCAAAGAACAATTTTCTTTTCTTTTTTTTAAGTATATTGATTGACTAAGGATAGCCTCTGTTGTTACTCATGTATTTTTTTTTTCTTTCTCCCTCAAATTATTGCAAGATAACATTTTGGTTAGATTCAAAGACATTCCTGGGGACAAGAACTGTTAAGCCATAGGTAGATAAAGATGATTCAAAGGAGATTAGGTATCATTAAAAAAAAAAGAAAAACACATCAATTTTAGAATAGTTAAGGGCAAGTAAGCTCTAAGGCAGGAGGATTGAGGAATCCAAGGCTCCTTCCAGCTCAGGATTTTAGAGATCAACCTTGAAGGCAGGTCCAAATCATTGGACAAAGGGTATTGTGGCCAAAAGAGCCATTTACTGAAATCCACAGATATGTGGACTGAGGAGAGTCTGGGTTCTTTGATACCATCTAGTTTAACTTCCTTTGTTTTTATGATAAAGACACTCAGACCCAGAGAGAAAAAGCAACTTGTTTGGTAAACAGCAGAAGATCCTCTTTTATTTATCCTCTTCCCTCCCATCTTCTCTAGAAGACTCTACCTGCTTTAAATTATCAGCCACAAACACAATGTATGCACAGCAGAAGCCCAGCTGGGTGACTGTAAGGAAGAAGATCACGACACACCTAGAGGAGACGAACAGAGAGAGAAAGAAAACTTGTTATAAAAGAAATTGGCTTGTCAGTTCCATTTCTTGCCATTCTGCCTCCTGCCCCCACTGCCCCCTGCACCACCACCCTTGGTTCTGTCACCAAAATTGACAATGACAGAGTAAGAAAGGAGGTAACAATAGTTCTCTTAAAAAGTGTTTTTCAACTACCCCCACATTCTCAGCTCAGCAAGTGGTAAAATTCTTTATGGTCAGGAGCTTTGCTCCCACCCTCTGTACCTGGCTCCACAGCATTCCTCATAATTGACACTAATTGAAACGGGACAGTAGGCACAATGTTTTATTAGCTATCATTAACATTAAATTTTTTTCCTGCCATTGCCTGGTACTATGTTCGACACAAATAACACATAGTCCTTACCTCTAGTCATTTATACACTGGTGGGCAAGATGGACAAAGATTACTATAATATGGTATGTAAGGGTGCACATAAAAGGGGCAATTTACCCAAATTATGGAGTAGACAGAAAGCCTTCCTAGAGAAACTGATACCTCAATGGGAGACTTAAAGGACAAAGAAGAATTGGGAAGGGGAAGAATGAGAGGAGGGGGGAAAGAGAGAGAGAGAGAAAGAAAGAAGAGGAAGGGGAGGAGAAAAGGAAGAAGAAGAGCAGCAGCAGCAACAACAGTAACAGCAACAAATATAACAAGAAAAAGAAGAGAGGAAAGGGTATATAAGTAGAGGCAGCAGGCAGATTTCTCTGGCTGCCACATGGACAGTCCATTGGAGGTGGCAAGACTAAGGATGGGAGACTGGATAGGAGATTCTTGCAATAATGAAGGTGAAGACAGCAACAGTCTGGACAAAGACATGACCTTTATGACTAAACCGCAAAATCAAACCCGTTGCCTTCGAGTCGATTCTGACTCACAGCGACCCTATAGGACAGAGTAGAGCTGCCCCATAGGGTTTCCAAGGAGCAGATGGTGGATTTGAACTGCGACTTTTGGTTATCAGTCAAGCTCTTAATCGTTGCACCACCAGGCCCCCACCTTTAGAACTAAGAGAATTAAAATATTTTAAGAGATACTAAGGTGCTAGAATTTATGAAAACCTGGTGATTTACAGTTTTTTTGGCTTGGGCATAAAATGAACTGGGAAACTTAGAAGGAAGATTAGGTTTTAGAGGAAGGAGCACAAATGACACATTTAGCATCTGAATTGTTGGGCTTGAGGTCCCTATAGGAGACATTTGAGAGGCATCTATAGTATTAGGTTTTAAAACTGTTAGTAACAGTGGATAAAGTCTTGAGAAGGCAGGTGATCATTGTCTGAGGATGTGCCGAGTGGGAAGAGAAGGAACATTCCAAACTTTGGAGAACACCAACATGGATGGAAACAAAAAAGTCTATGATGCAAGCAGAGGAATGGTCAGAAGGATAGGAGGGAAATCGGGGGAAAAAAAAAGACTTAATAAAAACCAAGAAGAGAGTGAGGGAGAATGTTTCAAGAAAAGAATAGTCAACAGTACTCACCTTTGTGGAGGGTTCTCTAGGGTAAGGAAGTTACAAGGAAGTCTTAGAGGACATTGGTGGAAAGAACTTCAGTAGAATTATAAAGACAGAAAAGCCAGATGACCCATGAAAGAGGTGTGAATGAGATGTGAGGAAGCAAAGTCAGAGAGTAGGCCTTCTTTCATGAATCTGGAGTGTGAGCTCCAATCTGGATGGTGTCCATTTTGTTCATCATTGTAGACCATTGCCTAAAGCACATCCTGACACATTGTACATCTTCAGAAATATTTGTTGAATAACCATCTGTTGAATAATGAGATAAGATGGTGGCTAGAGGATGGTGTAAGGTCCAGGAAGCTTTATTTATTTATTTATTATTTTTTAAATGGATATGTGTGAATACATTTAAATCCTTAGGGGATGAGTCCATAGGAAAGACGTTCCAGTTATAGGAGAGAAGATAATTAGTGGAACAAGGTACTTAAATGGGGCAAGAAAAACTACTTTATATCCTCAACAATGAATAGAAGGATTTCAGGGACTATGAGGTATGTGAGGGAAGGACTGAGGTGAAAGTCTCCTCTTGGGTCACATTATTGGGAAAATTCTGGTTATCATCACATATCCTTCCTAGTCTGCTCATGGGCAATTAATAGAGGATGTGCTTTGGGCCAGTGGGGTTGCTAGACCCATAACGCCCGCCTACCTTACATGAGCAGGAGCACACCTGGAGTACTGCAGTGGTTTGGAGTATCAAAGTTCAAGAGACACCTTGACAATCTAATGAGTGCTCAGAAAAGAAGAAGGCAGACAGGATGGGGCAGGTCAGGGAGACAAAGGAGTAGATCTAGTCCTAAGTACCAGAGGATGAACGGGGGTGGTTATTTGTTCTGTGTTACCCTTGAGAGCTAAAAGGTGGGAAGATGCAGGGAGGAAGACTACAGCTCAACAAAAGGTCATAAAGTCTTGATCTTTTTCTCTTCTTTCTTGTCTCACTATATACTCTCTCCCCAAGAGAACTTCTCTGCACTCTGGCTTCGTGACTGATGACTTCAATTCTCTTTCTCCTGCATGAAGATAGGTTCAAATCTATACGTACAACCACCCACTTGATATCTCCACTTGGATGTTTCTCAGGCACCTCAAACCCAGCTTGTCCAAAACAGAAGTCATCAGAAATCTGAGCCACCCTTGACTCTTCCTTTCCTCTTTTTCCTTTCCCAGTATCCAGTTCACGACCAAGTCAACTCTTCTCCATCCCCACTGCCACCTGCTTGGTCCAAGCTACCATTGCTACCTGTCTGGCCATTGTCAACAACCTCCTCACTGGTCTGACTAAATCTACTCTTGTTCCCTTACAATCTAGTCTCCTCGAAGAAGTCAGACAGATCTTTAAGCAATGCAATTGTGATCACTTCCCTGCAGAAAGCCCTCCAATGACTTCCTGGTTTCTTTAAGAAAAGAACAAAATCTTTAAGAGGGTCTAAAACACCCAGCCTGACCCAGCACCGGCTTCTTCTTCAGTTTCACCTCCCTGACTCTCTGCCGTTAAACCACTTGGTCTTTGTGTACCTTGAAACTGCCACACACTCCTTCCTGCTTCGGGGCCTTCACGCGTGCCCTTCCTTCTTCTTGGAAGGTCCTGAGCACTTTCCCCTAGAGAATTCCTCATCTTTCAAACGCCTTCCTTCAGAACTCATTTCAGCTGTTCCATCCTGGGAGACCCCTATCCAGCCCATGTATGTCTCCTTACCTGCTCAGTAGCAACCAGTAATTCTTTCCTTCATATTACTTATCCCTGAGGTTATAAAACAACTGTTTAATGTCTGTCTTTTCCACTGGACTATGGGCTCTGTGAGGTCAAAGCCTTGTTATTTGTCTTATTCCCCATGGTTTTTCCAGTGCCTGGTACATAGTAGCAATTGGATAAATGTTGTTAAATAAAAGAGAGAATGATATTAAAGCTGAATAGCAAAGGGATGAGCATCCTGTCACTGGAGACATACAAGGAGGGACTGGACAGAGATGTTGCCAGTGAACCCCTTCCATGTGGAAAGTCTGACATTCTGTGCCACATGAGCCACCTTTCCAGGGAAGAAGACATCCCTGACAGCAGCATTCCCACCTACTGTATCCTACCCCACAGCAGGCAGAGCAAGAACAAAGTACCTTCCCCAGTGGGCGTGGTTCTGGAGCCAGGAGCTGGGACTGGATTCTAGTCCATGCATCACTGTATCCCCATAGTCCATAAAGGGCTTGTTAAGCCTGTAGGAGAGAGCACATGCACAGTTGCCAATCTATCACTTAACCTAGGATTACATACTCCAAAGTCAGGAGATACTGAGCAAGGCAGGACCCAGCTGGAGAGTGGAAGGACACTGGGGCAGAGACTTAAATTCTAACTCAGGCTCTGACAACTGGTGGTATTTCTTTGGTACCTTGTTTTCCTCACCTGTCAAATGAGGCAGTTGCTAAAGAACAAGAGTAACAATGCACACCTTATACAGGCACCGTAGTTTTCATAGCCACGATCTCACTGGATCCTCATGATAATTTTCTGAGACAAGATTGAGCATGGATTGTTTATGCTCAGTTTATAGATGAGTCAAGCAGATAAGCACAATGGCCTGATTGAGATCACCTAATGAGTAATGTGGAGTCCCTGGTGATGCAAACAGTTAATACACTTGGCTGCTACCGAAGGGTTGGAGATTCGAGTCCACTCAGAGGTGCCTCAGAAGAAAGGCCTGGAGATCTGCTTCTGAAAAATTAGCCATTGAAAATCCTGTGGAGCACAGTTCTACTCTGAAATACATGGGGTTTGGTTTTTGATGAGTAACGTGAAAGAGCACTACCTTAAGCCCCTGAGTACTTTTCTCTTTTTAGTGGCCTTGTTGTGGAAGATTAGTATTTAAACTCCTGTTACGTATAGGTGGTGCAAACGCTTTGTGCCCAATTGTTCACCTAAAGGTTGGTGATTCACTACTATACAGCTATGGTAATCAAAACAGCCTACTGCTGGTACAACGACAGATACCTTGACCAATGGAACAGAATTGAGAACCCAGATGTAAATCCATCCACCTACAGTCACCTGATCTTCGACAAGGGCCCAAAGTCCATCAAATGGGGAAAAGACAGTCTTTTCAACAAATGGTGCTGGCAAAACTGGATGTCCATCTGCAAAAAAATGAAACAGGACCCATACCTCACACCATACAAAAAAACTAATTCAAAATGGATCAAAGACCTAAATATAAAACCAAAAACTATAAAGATCAGAGAAGAAAAAATAGGATCAACGCTAGAGGCCCTGATACACAGCATTAACAGGCTACAAATCATAACTAACAACACATAAACTCCAGAAGATAAGCTAGATAGTTGGGATCTTCTAAAAATTAAACACTTAGGTTCATCAAAAGACTTCACCAAAAGAGTAAAAAGAGAACCGTCAGACTGGGAAAAGAATTTTGGCTATGGCAAACCTGACAAAGGCCTAACCTCTAAAATCTACAGGAAAATCCAACAGCTGTACAACAAAAAGACAAATAATCCTATTAAAAAATGGGCAAAGGAAATGAACATACATTTCACCAAAGAGGACACTCAAGTGGCTAACAGACACTTGAGGAAATGTTCATGATCACTAGTCATTAGAGAAATGCAAATCAAAACCACAGTGAAATACCATCTCACCCAGGCATTACAGGCATGAATCAAAAAATAAAATAAAATAACAATTGTTGGAGAGGCTGTGGGAGATTGGAACTCTTATGCACTGCTGGTGGGAATGCACAATGGTACAACCATTTTGGAAAACCACATGGCACTTCCTTAAAAAGCCAGAAATAGAAATACCATACAATCCAGCAATCCCACTCCTAGGAATATATCCGAGAGAAATAATAGGTTTCACAGGAATAGACATATGCACACCCATGTTTACTGCAGCATTATTCACAACGGGAAAAAGATGGAAACAACCTAGATGCCCATCAACAGATGAATGGATAAACAACCTATGGTACATACACACAAAGGAGTACTATGCAACAATAAAGAACTATGATGAATCTGTGAAGCATCTTACAACACGTATGAATCTGGAGGGCATTATGTTGACTGAAATACGTCAGTCACTAAAGGAGAAATGTTGTATGAGACCACTACTATAAAAACTCATGAAAATGTTTACACACAAAAAGAAACAATGTTTGATGGTTACGAGGGAGGGAAGGGGTGGGGATGGAAAAACACTAAATAGACAATAGATAAGTGGTAACTTTGGTGAAGGGTAAGACAGTACACAATACTGGGAAAGCCAGCACAACTTGACTAAGGCAAGGTCATGGAAGCTCCATAGACACATCCAAACTCCCTGAGGGAACGCATTACTGGGCTGAGGGCTGTGGGGACCATGGTCTCAGGGAACATCTAGCTCAACTGGCATAACATAGTTTATAAAGAAAATGTTCTACATTCATTCTACTTTGGTGAGTAGCGTCTGGGGTCTTAAAAAAGCTTGTGAGTGGGCATTTAAGATATTCCACTGGTCTCACCCCGTCGGGAGCAAGTTAGAATGAAGAAAACCAAAGACACAAGGGAAAGATTATTCCAAAGGTCTGATGGACCACAAGTACCACAGCCTCCACCAGACTGACTCCAGCACATGTAGATGGCACCTGGCTATCACCACTGATTGCTCTGACAGGGATCACAATAGAGGGTCCCAGGCAGGGCTGGAGAAAAATGTAGAGCAAAATTCTAATTCACAGAAAAGATCAGACTTAGTGGCCTGACAGAGACTGGAGAAACCCTGAGAGTGTGGCCCCTGGACACAGTAATGAAGTCACTGCTGAGGTTTACCCTTCAGCCAAAGGTTAGACAGGCCTATGAAACAAAACGAGTCTAAAGGGGCACACCAGCCCAGGGGCAAGGACTAGAAGGCAGGAGAGGACAGGAAAGCTGGTAATAGGGAACCCAAGGTGGAGAAGGGAGAGTGTTGACATGTTGTGGGGTTGGTAACCAATGTCACAAAACAATATGTGTGCTGATTGTTTAATAAGAAGCTAGTTTGTTCTGCAAGTCTTCATCTGAAGTACAATAATTGAAAAAAAAAGAAAGACAGAAAGAAAAAGGTTGGTGGTTCCAACCCACCCAGTGGTACTGTGGAAGAAAGGAACTGGCTATCTGCTTTCGTTAAGATTACAGCCAAGAAAACCCTATGGAGCAGTTTTACTCTGTAACACGTGGGGTTGCCATGAGTCATAATTGACTCAATGGCAACTAACAACAACATGAATAGGATGTTTCTAGGCTGTCCCTGAGAAACATGTACCGAAGGAATTGACGCAAGGGTGGTATTTTTCTTACCTGTGGCAGAAGTGCCGGGCACACCTGACCAGGATGTGCATACAGTGACAGGCGACGAAGCCCATTGCCAGCACACTGAGCGGGCCCATCTGGAGGAGGGAGGGGAGGGCCAGGGGAGACGAAGAGAATGGGTTTAGAAGGAACCAGAGAGGAGGGATTTGGTGACTGCAGATATCATTAAGAATTCAAAGAATTTTCTAGCAAACCGGTTTGCAAACCCCTTTTGAGCAATAAAAGCTATTCTTTCAAATGTAACCTAAAGTCGAATTGACAACAGCAACTCCAAAGGTTAGATAAGAAGCTTAGGGGGCAGCAAGGTTATATAAACAGTGGAGAAATAATTTGGGAAAAGAAGGTGAAAATGATTGCACGACTTGAAGAATGTAATCAATGTCACCAAATTGTACATTTAGAAATTGTTGTTGAGTTGATGTGTTTTGCTGTGTATATTTTCAACAACAAAAAAATAAAATAAATTATTTTAAAAAAATAAAATAATTATTGCCAAAAAAAAGTTATCTCAGCAGAAATCCAATAAGGTACATAAAGTCATTATAATGGGGGTATTGTGGTAGGAGTGGGACACAGAATACAGACCACGTGCCCGAGGAATCCTTGAGGAAATGCAGGGCTCTGTAGAGCACAACTAGGAAATGGTCAGAGTCCAACCTTTGAATTCTACAAAGGAGAGGGGAACTGAAGTCCAGAGAGTGGACAAACAGTTGGCCAAGGCCACTCGAAGTCTGTGGCAAAGGCAGACTCAAACCCAGGCTAGATGTCTGGACTCCAAATCTGGACCAAGCTGCCCCCTAGAAAGGCTACTCATTTCAGACTATTATAAACTGTTAAAGACCTCTCCTCCCACAACCCAGGTCATCCCCAACCAGCATCAGCCCCTCTTACCAGGATGCCTGCATTCTTTATGGCCAGGGGGAGCCCCAGGATCCCTGTGCCCATGTTGCCTTTCACCAAGTGAACCAAGGTCTGGAACCCTCTACAGGGGAGGAAGGAGATGTGAGGATGTGGGTGTGTGGAGGTGAGACGATCCAACAGTCAGCCCCTCACAACATGCCAACACCTCATTAAGCTGGGTAGCGGGTCCCCGGACTTCTCTCACTCACCTTATCCTTGCCTGGAACATCTAGGCTTTCTGTAGGATGACCAAGTGTCCTGGTTTGCCTGGAACTGTCCTGGTTTAGCAGCTAACACTCATTATATACAATCACAACACTTAAACTATATGCCAGACACTGTGCTAAGTACTTTTCATGCATGATCACATTTAATCCTCTTGCCAAGAATATGAGAAAGGTGCTATTATCATCCCTATTTTGCAGATGAGGAAACTGAAGCACAGAGTTTTGTTAGTGACTTGTCCAAGGATATGTACGTTAAAAAAATCAAACCCATTTCTATGGAGTCTAGCCAGAATTTAGCCCCAGGGCTTCTTCAGACACCCTGTTCCTCATCTTCACTTCTACAAGGCTGCCTCTGGGGGAGAGCCGAGACAGAATGAGTAGTGGGATAACCCCATATCATAACTAGGAACCCGAGTGGTGCAATGGTTAAGACCTTGACTGCTAACAAAAAGCTGGCAGTTCGAATCGACCAGCTGCTCCTTGGAAACCTCATGGGGCAGTTCTACTCTGTCCTATAGGGTTGCTATGAGTAGGAATCAGCTCGACAGCAATGGGTTTAGATCATAACTGAGGAAACTGACACCCAGGGATTAGGCAGTGATTATCCCATGGTCATAAAATTAGTAGTAGAAACCGGGTTGAACACAGAGAAAAGGAAAGGACAGACCAAAAAAAAGTATTGTGACATCTGAATAAATAGGTCAGATGACTTGGGTCCCCAGGTAGGGCCTTGGGATAGGGTCATTTGGGGATTGGGCTCCAGAGGTGTCACCTGCCCCATCCCAGGGCACCAGGTGGGTATTGGGTTTATATCCACAACTTTAGAAACCTTGGAAATTCCCTTTACCAAAAAAATAAAATAAAATCGGCTCATTGCTGTCGAGTCGATTCCAACTCATAGCGACCCTATAGGAGAGAGTAGAACTGTCCCATAGGGTTTCCAAGGAGCAGCTGGTGGGTTCGAACTGATGACCTTTTGGTTAGCAGCCATAGCTTGCCGTAGCTGTTAATCACTGCACCACCAGGGCTCTGGAAATTCCCCGTAAGAGTCTGAAAATCAGTGGAAGTACTTTAGAGGGAGCCTGGTCTCTGGGTTTGGACAAACCAGGGATTTAAAACTCAAGACTATTACTTAACAGGCTATGCCATCTTGGGCAACGTGCTTAACTTTGCTGAGCTTCTGTAAATGTCAAAAAGAACTGTCCCAAACACCTGTATCTTTGTGTTAAAGCCCTCAATTCTCTAACTTCCTGAGGTTCTGCCCTCCAGTGTGTTAAGGATTAAAGAGAACAATTAGGGGAGGGAGAGGGTGAGGAGTCCCGCGTGCCTTCCTCCCTCCCTGTAGATGTCAACATCGCTGACAGAGCACTGCACCCCACAGCTGCCATTGATAGGTTTGTTTTGCAACTAGGAGCAGGTCAACGGGTCACTTTGGAAATTTCTAACTAAAGGGCTTAAAAAATCAGAATTTAACTTTGAGTCACTCAGTCAACTTAAAAACATAGAGTGGTGAGTTGTGCAAAGCACTGTACTAGGATTCAGGAGACCTGGGTTCTAGGCCTAACTCTCTTGGCAACTTTGGATCCGACGTCTTCGGAGTCCCCAGGTACTGTGCTAGCGGCTTTATGCTCAAATCACCTCTAGAGCCACTCTAGGAGGTGCAAACTCTCAGTAGTCCCGCTTTACAGAGTAGCAACTGGAGCACAGAACAGTGACATCACAAGCCCAAGCTGGTAACAGCTAAGTGGGCATTCGAACAACTCCAGAGGTGTCATGCTCACCCAGGCTGTTACTCTTCTTCCCCCCATGCCACGAGGTCCCCTCTACCTCTGGCTTGCTTTATCTCTGATTCTTAAGTGGCTGACGTTGCCACTAAACCACGTGTCAGCTCAGGACATAAGAGCTAGATGGTTCCCCCAAGGCCTCCGATTAAGAAATACCCCTACTCCGACGTGAATGCTGTCAAGGCTAGTGTGCTTCCCCCACGGTCAGTAATTCTTAGCAATCCCCAGGACTAGCCCCCGGGAAACCAAACCGTGACAGTGCCAGCCATTGTGTCAATCCCTAGATTGTCCTGGTGGTAGATGTGGGCTTTGCCTTCTCTTTACAGGACTTCTCCCTCCTTACCTCCTCCCCAACTTCAGGTGTAGTTTCCACAAGCATCCTTCTTTAATTCACACTACCACCAAATTATGCCTGTTCTGCATATGGGGAAACTGAGGCTTAGAGAAGAGAAGAAGCAGAGGCAAAACTGGAACTCAGATCTGATTCTTTGCCCAGTGCTCTTTCTACTAAACCAAGGATTTTCACAGCTTCTTAAAGCAGCAGGACCTCTCTATCAACGTGCTTCCTCATTTTTTTTTTTTCCTAAGCAAACCAGCTACTCTGGTTGAGGGATGGGGTCCAGGTGGAGGGAAAAGGAAAGTGAGCTGGAGCCCTGTGGCTTGGCTTCCCTGCCTGTCTTCTTTCTGTAGACCCTCCTTATCTTGGATAGAAAGCCTTGTGAATGATCTCAACCCCTACCCTGGAAAAAAAGGAAAACCACCAGAATCTTCCAAATACTGTGTTTTTTGCTGTCATCATTGCAATTCCCATTAGACATAGAGGCCAGAGTAACTGCAGGCAGGGGGAAGGGAGGTGGCAATGCTTGGCTATCGGGGAGGCCGCTGTAGTTCTAAGCTCAGGTCTCACCTTTTCCTCCAAGAATTTGGGAGTTCTGCCCACATTAGCAAGCCTGACCAGGAGCAACATTGACTTTTGGGCCAGCACTGGAATCTAGCCCCTCTCCTGCCAATAACCCAGGGTGTGGCCTCTGGTAACAGGGCCCTAGTTTCCCTACCTGTGCACATTGGGAGCTGGATCACAATTATATGGGCTTTTACACACAGAAGGGCTTTTCTGACATTCGACATTCCTGCCTTCTTGAGCTCTCAATCTCACTCAGCCTCTGGCTCTATCTTTTCCAACCTTGGTTTCCCCATCTGCACAATGGGTTTGGGGTCCAACACACCCCTCTCAGGGGTTTTGCCACTGTAAGCTCCCAGGCTGGAAAGCAGATATGGAGGTGGCAGAAAACAGCACTCACGTTATGCCCTTGGTCTTCTGCAAGCCCGGTGACTCTGAAGGGCTTCCTTCCAAGAAGCTGGAGGCCTTGTTCTGCAGCTCCTTGGCACTTTCAGGAGGTGACATGAAGTCCAGTTTGAGGGAAACAGCTCCCTGGAGACCCCTGACACTCTCAGTCAAAGGCATGGCTGCTTCAGAAACTGAAGGTTCAGGGTGCCAAGGAGGTCTGTGTTAGAAGGAGACAAACAGGAAGATGTCTAGCCCAGGTGCAAACTCCAGCTCAGTGGCTTGTGCTTAGCAGGCTCCAGTCAAGCTGGAGAGAGGCCCCGCCCACCTCCCTGTCAGGCACCTCCCCCTCCCCTGAGGAAGCCCAGTAAAAGACGAACCTTGCTCTCCTGAGAGGAGAACGAGGGATTTGGGGAGGGAGTCATCCACCCTTATTGGTATGACCTAATAACAGAAATGGGAGCAGTGACTACGATACTGATAATTTAATAACTAGTGTTTATTAAGCAATTTACCAAGGGATAGACACTCTTTTAAGTACTTTTGCTATATTTTCTCGCTTTAATCCTGTAGGTTAAATAATGAGGAAAATGAGGATCCTTGAAGTAAAGGGACTTGGCTGAGGTCACATAGCTGGAAAGGGACAGAGTTGGGACCTGAGCCCAATTCGTCAGGATTTTTAACTAGTACCTTATTACTGCCTCCAAGAGAATACCTCCACCTCATCTCAGGTCATCTCAGGGCTGTGGTTTCCACTTCCCACTGGACGTTCAATCTGGTGCAAGATGTTGCTACTGGGAGCTCCTCTTCTTTAACGTGGAAAAAAGGAACAATTGTTCACCTATAATAAAGTTGCCGTTGACTCTGATTCATGGCGACCCCATGAGTGTCCAAGTAGAACTGCACTCTGTAGGGTTTTCAATGGCTGAGTTTTTGGAAGTAGATTGCCAAGCGTTTCTTCTGAGGAACCTCTGGGTGGACTTGAACTGCCAACCTTTCAGTTAGTTGTCTAGTGCTTGATCATTTGTGCCACCCAGGGGTTCCTCACCTCCAGTTGCTCCTTAGCTTTTATGAGACTCCAGGGAGACACAGAGGCTTTTCTCTTGGAAAGAGGGCAGGGACAGAGACTGTACAACTCCCAGCTCATTTTCCTGGACAGGACACTGGGGCCTGGAGAGGGTGTGATTTGTCTGATGTCACACATGACATTTAGAACGAAACCTCTGCAGCTAAAGAAGGTCTTGGGAGGATCTCTAGTGCCCCATTCTCTGTCATTGTCTCTGCTTCCGGGACAGATGATTGGATAGAACTTCTTCCTCCCTCTAAATGTTAGCATTTTACTTAAGCTAGATCAGATCTTCCACTATTGTCTCATCACTACCCTAACATTTTTTGAGTGCTTGCCTTATGCTAACAGCTTCACATAACTTTACAAACATTTCTAAGCAGTAGCATCAGAGACAGATTCTTCAGGGCCTTTCCCTTATGTGGGGCCCTTTCCAAGGGTCTATGTATAGTTTTATATTTACAATTCTTTTTCTTAAAGAGCTCCTCCATACACCCACTGGTATAAGCTTCATGCCCCAAAAAGCCTAACTACTTCTCTGGGGAGCATTATTATTATTATTATTATTATTTTTAACAATGTGGACATGGAGGCTCAGAGAGGTGAAGAATGGCTTGCCCAAGGTCACAGCTAATACCTGCAGAGCTGAAACTCTACCCTAGCCAAGTCTTTCTGCCCCTGAAGCTCGCTACACTGCCTCCTGATTTAAATCTTGGCTCCATCCCTCAAGTTTCTTGGCCTGAGTCAACTGAAGCACTTGCTGTGGTTTGAGAACTGTCATTTATTTCCTTGTCTGGTAGAGGCTGCTGCGTGCTGTGCACTCACAGTGCATCCTGTGACACCCTCATTCAGACCCTAAGATTCCATGATTCGATTCTAATCGAGGATCTCATGGCACCAACAGTGCTCCGTGCCTGCTCAGGCAACAAGATCTGTAAATGGAATTGTCAAGGAGCTTAAGCTTTTTAGATATTGAGGCTAGCTCTTTGTTCTTCTCCAGGTAGTGGCAAGAACCATGACTTAATTGTCAAACTTTTCAGAAAGGGGCTTACGGAATCTTGATTTTTGGTTGGCCCCTTCCCAGGCATCATCAGCTAGAAGTAAACTTGCAAGTCACCACCTGCAGACCACCAACTTGTTGTCTTACCTGTCAGGAGCCAAGAGGGCTTCTCCTAGGGTGAAGGTCCCCCAAATAAGCCCTTCTAACACTGGACCAAGCCTCGAGTTGCAATATTGAAGGATTCTATGGACAAAATATTGAATGAAACAGAAAGCATCAAAAGAAGATGGAAGGAATACACAGAGTCACTGTACCAAAAATAACTGGTTGACATTCAAACCTTTCAACAGATAGTAATGATCAAGAACTGGTGGTACTGAAGGAAGAAGTCTAAGCTACCCTGAAGGGACTGGCGAAAAGGCTCCAGGAATTGACGAAATACGAGTTGAGATGTTTCAACAAACAGGTGCAATGCTGGAAGCACTCACTTTTCTATGCCAAGGAATTTGGAAGACAGCTACCTGGCAAACCAACTGGAAGAGGTCCATATTTGTGCCCATTCCAAGGAAAGGTGATCCAACAGAACACAGAAATTATCCAACAATATCATTAATACAACACACAAGCAAAATTTTGCTGAAGATAATTCAAAAATGGTTGCATTGACAGGAAACTGCTAGAAATTCAAGCCAGATTCAGAAGAGGACATGGAATGAAGGATATCATTGCTGATGTCAGGTGGATCTTGGCTGAAAGCAGAGAATACCAGAAAGATGTTTACCTGTGTTTTATTGATTATGCAAAGGCATTCGACCGTGTGGATCATAACAAATTAGGGATAACATTGTGAAGAATGGGAATTCCAGAATACTTAATTGCGCCCATGAGGAACCTGTATATAGACAAAGAGGCAGTTGTTCGAACAGAACAAGGGGATACTGCATGGTTTAAAGTCAGGAAAAGTGTACATCAGGGTTGCATCCTTTCACCATACTTATTCAATCTGTATGCTGAACAAATAATCCAAGAAGCTGGACTATATGAAGAAAAACTCATCATCAGGATTGGTGGAAGACTCATTAACAACCTGCGATATGCAGATCACTCAGCCTTGCTTGTTGAAACTGAAGAAGACTTGATGCACTTACTGAGGAACATGAAAAACTATAACCTTCAGTATGGATTACACCTGAACATAAAGAAAACAAAAATCCTTACAAAGGGATCAATAAGCAACATCATGATAAACTGAGAAAATATTGAAGTTGTCAAGGATTTCATTTTACTTGGATCCACATTCAATGCTCATGGAAGCAGTAGTCAGGAAATCAAATGATGTATTGCACTGGGCGAATCTGCAAAAGACCTCTTTAAAGTGTTAAAAAGCAAAGAGGTCACTTTGAGGACTAAAGTGTGCCTCACTGAAGCCATGGTGTTTTCAATCACCTCATATGCATGCAAAAACTGGACAATGAGTAAGGAAGACAGAAGAAGAATTGCTGCCTTTGAATTATGGTGTTGTTGAAGACTATTGAATATCCCATTGTTGTAGAGAAAAACTTGAGAGCTGTTTCAAGTTAAAATAGAGGGGTTTACTAAGCGTTTAAAACAATTGCAGTTGGGGAAGTACATAGCCCATTGAAAATGGAACTAGGTAGTCCCGGGGCAGTTTCGTTATACAAGTATTCTTATGGGGTAAAAAGAGGAACCAAACCATAGAGAGAGCAATTACCAGAAAATCAATGAATATTGTAATAATCACACTCTGATTGGTTACGGATTATTAGTAGCATAAATTAGTGATTACAGATAGTTTCACAGGATGCTTACATCATGGTCACAAAATGATTACATATAGTTTCTTTGTCTACCTCGAAAAAAAGAAAAAAATACCTTACTGGCAACAGCACTCACACAGCACTTTTCCAGAGTATGGGTGTTTTGAGGGGTGCAGATGGTCACTTGGTTAAGACCCCTAGGGGCATATGGTTTCACATCCTGGTTTTGATCACAGAGGAAAAACATGTTTTTCTCAAAAAACTTAACCGTTAGTCTAGAATCCAGATTAAAATTAGATAGCATAGTCGACATATTTTGCCTCTGTCTCCCTGACTGCACTGAAAGTTGTCTTTTCCTGAGGCACCACGGACTGCCAGAAGAATGAACAAATCTATCTCAGAAGAAGTACAGTCAGCGTGCTCCTTGGAAATGAGGATGGCGAGATTTCATCTCACGTAATTTGGACATGTTATCAGGAGGGACCAGTCCCTGGAGAAGGACATCATGCTTGATAAGGTAGAGGGTAAGCAAAAAAGAGAAAGACTCTCGACGAGATGGATTGACACAGTGGCTGCAACAATGGGCTGAAACATAGCTACGATTGTGAGGATGGCACAGGACAGGGCAGTGTTATGTTTTGTTGTACACAGGGTTGCTATGAGTCAGAACTGACTTGATGGCACCTAACAGCAACACTAGCCCAAATATCCAGAGCCCTGGATTCCACTGGGACTCTGTCATGAATCTGCTGTGACGGTGGGAAAGGTGTTTCCCTCTTTGGGCCTCAGTTTTCCACTCTGTGAAACGGGGACTAAGAGGTAGATGACTCCTGAAGACCTGAGGACCCCAGGGACTTGGGGGCGGGGTCTTCTGTGATACTTGGACCTCTCATCCCCACTGAATGCCAGGATGCAGTCCCAGCTCCCCTTGCGTGGGACTGCGCATGTGCAACTTGCATGCAGCCTGCCCACTTGACATTTCCTCAGAAGGTGAAACAATTGGGATTTGAATAATGATAATGATGTTTTATTACTCTTTAGACTAAGCAGAGTGCCTTATTTCTTTCATTCTTTTATGGTAATTCTGAAACGTGGTGTGTATCAGAATCAACTGGGGAGATAATATAAAGAACACAGAGACCCAGACTCGTTGAAGTAGAATAGGGCCTGGGGATTTGTAATTTTACCAAGTTTCCCAGGTAATTCTAATACTGACCAAAGTTTGAGTTCTGCCACTTGAGTATGGGATGGGAACAATTGCCCCTTTTAAATAGATTGAGAACAAAGGCAGAGAGCTGAGTAGTGATTTGACTGAGGTCATGTAATCTGGTGGGACTGAATACAAGTCCTTCTTTAGGCTAGAAGTTGTATTCTCCAGAAACAAAATAAAAGCCCTACCCAGATTGGATAATTAAAAACCC